CAGAGCAGCACGTCACATTGGCTCTCAGTTCAGTAATCCTTCAAGTATTCTGCAAAATACTTTGAGATTCAGCACTTAAAAAGCAAACTGCATCACATTAATTATTGCAGTCCTGCTAGCTGAAAAAAACCTGAACCCTTTCCTTCATGAACCGTTTTCCTCTTAGCTAATTTAGAACTTTAACTCATTGGAACAAAAGGGGCTTTTCCTATAGATGAAATAGGATACAGGCTGTTCCATAAGTTGCTACCAGGTGCACATTACTAACCTGGGGAAACTCTCACAGTTAGTCTGCCTTGGTTTTCTTCACATGAAAAAAACAAAAAAAAAGTTCAGTATAAAATATGAAGAGCTCATTTGACATAGGGGAAAATTCTGCCACCTTCATTGCACTTGAGAAGAAACGCAAGCTGCAAATAAACTAATTAAAATCACAGAATTAGCTACTAATGCCGTGAGATGGAATTGGACTGACAGTTTTTCACGTCAGGCAGTGTATCACACATGGTCAGTCTTGTCCTGCACAAAGCACGTGCCCAGTTGTATAACACGAAGGAAATTCAAAGTGTTGATGCATGGATCCCAAATACCAAATTACTAATGCCCACAGACGAGCTATGGAGCACCTGGGTCTCCGGCTCACCTAAATGGGAGCTGCTACTTGCTCAGCCTCTGAAGAACTTTCCTTGGTGTGATTTGGTAGATGACTTAATCTTTTGACCTCCAAACACATGTAAGACTAAGAGTAGAAGACTCATCCCTATTTTCAGCTGTCATACCAAATTCAAGAAGACGTGCCACTTGCACCCTTGCTTTCCTTAACTCCTCTGATACTGCATAGAATCGCCTTCCCAGACCAAACATTTGGAAAGAATTCATGAAGCAGACCTTTAAGAAGTGGAACTTTGGCTTGCCTAAAAACAATTAATCCAACAAACATCAGGTTGCACTGGGACTATATGCAGAACATGCTGAGAATTAACGTGCAACACATAAAGGCAAATAGACTTATGGGATCAGGACTCAAAGTGTGGCTGAAACACGAGCTATTAAATCTATATGCATCCTGGCTTGACTATCAAATCTGAATTCATTCAGCAGCAGCCCCCACTAGGATTTCACTGCTCAATATACTTTTATCACTATGCAGTTTGAGCAATATTTTTGATCAATTCCTACAATCAACATTTGTACATTGTGGGTCATTATTTCTCTTCTGGCAAAACAACTTCTTTAAAGCTTGTTAATCAATCTGCCTGGTTTAAGTTACTGTACAACTTACGCAGCCAGCTGTGCAAATAGCAGGAGCTGGAAAGCAGCTTCCAGAGACACTTGGTTGGCATCGCCACTTACATGAAACTCCTCGCCAGGAGCAAATTCAGGTTAATTGGGGCAGGGTGAATTGTTGGGTACCCTCTGCTAGCAGATGCCTTGTTCACATTAGCCTGGGGGGCTTCAAACCCCCCAGTCCTTCCTAAGACTTCTCCGCTGATAACACCTCCCCAGAGCAGTGGCAGTTAAATTGTTTACTCCTGCTTGAGACAGTGGAAAATTACTGACGTGACTTCTCAGGGTCACCTCGCTTTGCTAGGAAAGTCTTGATAATTAGAGACAAGACTGTTTGCCCTTCTCCATTATCCTGGCAACTGCAGATGAGTTGTGTTAAAATGACTGGATCTTGTTTTCTCCAGCCAAGCAGCACCCCATCACACCAGCTCTGCGTGCGGTGCGCTCTCTGCTACAGCAGCAGTCAGTACCTGCAGAAGGTGGGAGACCGTCCTCCAGAAATGGAGATAACTAATGAGGGGAACGTAATGGGGCACCTGGGTATCTTCATTAATGAGTCCCATAAACTGCGGATCTACAGTTGGCTTCATTCTCTTACTGTACTGATTTCTGTAATGCTGATTACTGCAGCAGCTGGGCATTTAATTACGCACAAAGGAGAACAAAACCAAACCAGGGGAGAACAAAATGCCACAGTGCTGCAAGTTGCCCTGTCAATCACTGGGTTTCACCTGCTTTTGAGCACAAGAAATGCCAAAGCTGGGGCAGTTGAGCAGGGAAAACTGCTGCTGAACAAAAAGATGGTTGTATCCCCAGCGGAGCCTGCAGAAAGCACCTGGACGGGATGCCAAATCTCTCCTGAGGACACCGTTTCAGCAGCAGGGAGACTGGATGTGCAACTCACCATGGCTGCGAGGGAAGGGAATGTGATAAGGGAAGATGGAGAAGGGGAAAAAGCAGCAACATCACAGAATGATTCATGCTGGAACCCAAGGGGGTATGAAGCTCTGCATTTCGGACAGAAGCACGAATGTAGGAGATGGAAGATCCATGTTCTTAATGCATTTTGGTGTCCCTACCTGATTCACTTTTCTAGGATATTACACTTTTAAGAAATACACCAAAACTCCCATCTGCTGGTGAGCATGGTAAAAAAAGACACACCTTCTCTCTCTTTTCAAGCAAGGCAAACAACGCTACCATATTAAATAATACTACATTATTAAGACAGTAACTGCAAAGTACCGGTCCCAAAGAAAACTTAGGAAATGGATGGCTCTGCAAGGAGCAGAGGCTGCAGACAGCAGGTCCTGCCATGCTCCTGCTCCTGTAGAGGAAATTAATGAGAACAAGTTTCCAAAGGATACGCATTGCATTTGCACTCTAGGTTACTGCTGGGGAATGGACAGACTGCTAGTGCAACCCTGTAAGTTGACTTTTCCTAGGAAACCCCATGCTTGGGAGTATTCAAGGCAGGCTACAGAGGTTCTCACATTAGGCAGAGATTTTTAAACCCGGTCTCCCCCTTAGGCAGATTCACCTTCCCTGCGCTTGAACTTCCCAAGGCAGAACAGATCGATAACAATTATGCTCTTCGCCGTCTGATCTGCAGTCGCTATTTCAGGTGCCACAGCTGCCACTATAAATGTCTTTGCGACTACATCTGGGAGAGATTTGCTTCCATAAGTGACTTTTTAGGATACGACATCTCATAATTACTCAGTTCACTATTCCGTTAAATAATCTGTCAGAGCATGAAAAAAACTCTTCAGTGTTTCGGCTAGAGGAAGCAGTTCATCTCGCTTTAAGTTACATTTACCCATTCTGCCGGTCCCTGTAGTACACACTGAGCACAGCTCTGAGTCACGGCATCGCCTGGTAGCACCCATGGCAGAATCAAAGGCACTGTCGGTAATTAAAGGTAATTCCCTTTCACTAGATATGGTTAAAGGTCTCCCTAGCCAAATGGAGAATAGCATAAGTACTAGATTTAGCATAGCTACAAGGTAGAAACAAAACGTTCTTACTGTCATTCCAAATGCACAATATTTATCGGTAAATGCAATGAAGTTTTGCATGTAATCCATTTAGTGATGGCTTCTAGTTCGGTAAATTACATATTTATTGTTTGTTTTCATTGTAATACCCAGAAAACCACTTATTTGTTTAAATGCTGCTACTTACTCTTAAAGCTTTTGTTTTTTACATAGCTGTAAGCAACTATAAGAAATTGTCGCTGGGATTAGTAAAAAAAAATGCAATTGTCTGGTGAGCTGAAATACAAGGAATATTTTACTATGGAAATTGAAGATTTAGGAACTTCCACCATAATAACTTCACATCTGAATATCGAAAGAAATTCTTACATTAAATCGCTCTTTTTAACCCCCTTAGCATATACCACAATGCAGAAAGCTGCAGCAGGTATTTCAAAAGAGCATGGATGTGCATTCTCCTGAGTTCACACTCTCCAGCCGGGAGGAGCCAGGCTATGCCCTCAGGGAGCCATCCCCATGCGCTCCCATCCACACACCGGCACATGGTTCGGTCCCACCCCGGCATAGGACACACAGAGGCTTCAACGGCAACACGTCTGGACTCTCCTTTGGCTACATGCTTGTCCTCATTGCTCCTCTCCTCCTCCTTGCTGCCAGCTGGGAAGGAGCTGAAGCCTTGATTCATGACCAGTATTACAACTCCCAAGTGTAACCCTCGCCTCCCAGCACTCGTCCCCATGAGATGCATGAGGGACCCGTGGAACCCTCTGGAGCCACCCTTAGAGGGAAGAAGCTGCACAGAGCTTCAGTGGGGTGCAAGAGGTCCCCTGGGACAAGGCTACACACTGCATTTGCCCTCAGGGAGCCACAGCTTCAGTTTAAGAGAAGGCAAATAGCAAATATTCAACAGGAGAGGAGTTCTACAATAAATGGGTCTATTTTAAACAGGCAAGACAGACTCTGGATGGTTTTCATGGAGAGCCACCAGTTCTTCCTCCACATTATTCTGCCTCTGAGGATGATTCCTGCCTCAACACTAGCGCTGACCTCTCAGTCCCACCATCTGCTACACCTTTCCCCATTCCACACAAGACAGGGAGGAGTTTGCATTAGACACTTTCCCACCCACCGCTGGCAAACCAGACACCCCAGCGGGGTGATGGAGTGATTAACCTGGAGCTCCCCCACTACTCAGGCTTCTCACCACTGTGGCTGGAGAGATGGTACATCCCTATCTCTTCGCTTAGTCAGATCACGCTACTTATTTTCTGTAAAGCCAGTTCACTACAAGTAACAATTTTGCTTCCTTGTAAAGACTGTTCGCAGGTGTTATTCTGGGCTAGAATACAGAGAAATGAAAATCCCCGTGTGAAGGTTAACGTAGAAATCCTCCTGAGAGACTAATATAAAACAATGTGCAGTTCCTCTACCAAGCGATTTAAAAGATGTCAAGCACACAGATGCCATTCTCTTCTGCTCAGAGACACTATAATTGTGACCAGTGAGCCATACCGGGCAGAAAGAGCATTCCCAATGGCATAAAATATGAAGGGTTTGCTTCTAGAGTAGTATCTCTGCAGACAAGACACACCATCTTACGACAACCGCTAGCCTCCTGTAGTCCCAGCTGATGTTAGGCAAGACTAGTTAGTATTTGAAGCTAAGCAGAAGGCAAATATATCCAAACCACTAGCATTTCAATAGAGATCACAGTACCTAAAATAGCCACCACCTCGTCGTCCTGGATGACTTCTAGGGATCCCGAGACCACAAAGCAAAGGGCATCAACACTTTCCCCAGCATGATAGATGAGGTCCCCCGGGGCGCAATGGATCGTCTGAAACTCCACAGCCAGGGCTCGCAGGCAGCCGTCACTAGCCAGCCGGAAGGCAGGGTGCTCGTTAAAAACTTTCCGGTTTAGGTGCACGCAAATATCTGCTCTCATGTCCTTTGGGCAAATTGAGAGAACCTGAATAAAAGAAAGAAGAAAAATAATCAGCTGGGAATATGACAACGGGCCACCACGCCGTTTATGAAGTTACCGGATGGATGGATCTCAAGATGCACCCAGGTGGATCTTAAGATCCATCAATCTGGTTATTTCATAAAGCTTCTGGTGGGAGTTTTATCTTGAACTGGGGTAGTCTTTTTCTACCCATCTAATGCCTTCACTGCAGTTGGTAGGGTGATGTGGAAGAAGGGACTATTCTGTTACACTGTTCTCATTCCTAAGTTTTCACACTTGTTTTCCAGAAGTGCAGGTGGCACTACTATGTCCTGTTTGTGGATATCCCTCCAGACTTGGTGCCCAGACTATCCGCCCGCTGCTACGCTCAATCCCTGCAGGAGCACAGAACGGACGCTCAGAGCTGAAGGAGCTTGAGGGCATGCAAAGATGGACCATTCGCAGTAGAAAACACCACATTTTGCTCACATCCAGAAAACCTAGTCTTCAAAAGTCTTGACGTAGATGACCACTTACCGACGCGTATCCAAACACACCTAGGGTTTAGTTTCAGTGCTGTACAGACATATAATAAGTAACCTGCCCTGAAGGGCTTACAGACTAGAAAATCCAAAGAGCCTGAGATTAGAGCAAGAGAAAGTATTATGAAACCTTATGAAAAGTAAAGTAAAGGTGAGTGAAAAACTGTCCTGTGAACATGAAGATGTCTTCATAGTGGATCAATTAAATAAGACCTTCAATTAATTTCTTACCTTAAATAGCTTTCCCTATTGAAATAGTAACACAAACACACCTGAAGAAAGAAAGTGAAAACCTGTGGGTCTTGTTAGGTTTGTAAACTGCGTGTTTAATATTTGCACATCCTCCTTAACACATGAACATCCGTATAAACCTAAAATGCATGGTAACTAATTACACTGAGAAACATATAAAACCTTTTAAAGTTTTCCTAGGACAAATAATAGAAAAGAGCATGATGATTAAGAGCACTCTGGAAGCCTTGTATAAAGAAGACTGCGGATCAATAGTACTGATTAATTTCTCATTGCGTGGAATAAATCTGGCAGCTTGCTCTGCAGATAGTGTGAGAGACAGGGACATTGGGTCAATGTGTTGACTACCATGAATATTAGCAAACAGAGTGAGACTTTGATAACCCTGACTAAGCTTGGAGGCAGTCAGTCATGTTAATATTGAAGTAAAGCTGTGATTTTGATTTCTGTTTAATGTAGAAGAGGTATAGAACATATTATTGTGAAATATTACTAAAGGTCCTAAAGCAGGGAATGGGAAAATAGTAAACAATTTCTAGTTTAACAATAACATTTAGTCCCCTTCTTATTTCAATAGATCAAAGTTCCTATGCAGTCAAAAATATAATGAATGCAAAAAGGTGAAGTTGAAGTTATTCCCCTGTCCTCTGTACTATGAAAGTCTGAGGCTAGAAAGGGCTACTGCAAGCATCTGCACTAGCCTCTTGCACTCATAATTTTCATATCAATCACACAATACCTGATAAAATTATAGCCTAGAAGGCCTTAATTTAATGTTTTCAAATCATATAGGGTAGTTGTTCCAATGGACAGCTACTCTCTCTTTTAAAACATGTGCTGTTTCTGAACTTTTTTTTTTTTAAATTTTCAGCCAACAGATCTCATCATTCGCTCAGATAAAAGACCTGCAATCATCTGAAATCTCTTCCACATGTACGTGTTCGTAGAATATGACCAGGTCATCTCTCGATCTCATCTTGAACAAACAAGAGAGATGATGCTTCTTGTGCCTAACACTATGAAGCATAGTAGCTCTTTGGAAACTTCCCCATAGAATGAGGTTTTCTCACTTACAACCACCTTCACAGATCTACCAGGTAATTAGTTTTTATTTGATTCAACACAGGATAAGTCAATTTGGCTTAATGCTATTTTTCTGTAACAAAATGTTGCACAGAACACGTTAAGAAACCCTGCATAAATCTGTTTTATCATAAAAATTAATAATAAACACATATGACAAGACATATTCTCCATAAACCATCATTTCCATTAATAATAATGTCTTGCCTGAGTCACTGTTGAGCATATCACGTATCAAATTTCCATAATTTTATTAGGGGCAAATGTCAATTTTACAAACTAATACCTACCTGAGTCATTCCATTTACCATTAGAAATATGGGCACATCTTAGTTTTCCCAGTAAAAAAAAAAAATTACTTTTAAGAGCCCTACTTTTGGATCAAACAGAAAGCTCGTCTTTATTATAAAAAAATAGAAACATGCCATTTTCTTCTTCTTGATATCAATTTAGTGAAAAATTCTGCTTTCTTTCTATCATGATTGATGATTTTTAACATTTTTATCTACTCTTGGGTCTAAACCGTGGTTAGAAGTTTTTTACGTCCCTTTAATACTTTCAGTAATGTAAGTGCTTTTGACGTAACAAGGCCATGAGCTAGGAATTCTCTAAACACTGCTCTTAAGAAAAACACGTGTATTCATACATGACTGATTTCCAAATTTTATCTTTTAAGCTTCCAAACTGCAGGAGAAATTGGTTAAACTACTGCAGAGGTTGTTACTGTAAGATTTGGACATGTTCTGGGACCCTTTGTTTTTCAGAGTGCGCGTTAATTCTGTCCCGCAAGAATAAAAGCCAACTGGATGTAAAGCAGCATATTGTTTCCTCACAAATACAGAGTTAAATTCAGAGTATTAAAAGTGAGCACTCAAAGCGTTACTCTTTTTATAGACACAAAAAACATACCTATCATCCCACACTGTAATATGAAGAGACGGAAAAAATTCCATTGCACAGAAAAAGCCAGCCTTAGAAAGCATAATTCAGGAATTTTCTGATGCCATGACAAAGCGATTCTGCTAATGACATATTACTGTATGGAGATACATGGAGATATCACTTATCAACTAGTACAGCAGTAAATGAGCAATGATCCAAGAGTTAGCCAGGAACAAATATTCTTTACTTCAGTTTTCTTGTCTGCTGTGCTGCAAGTACTGAGAACAGAGAATGAAACAGATGACAACTAGAAGAAATACTTAGTATTAAAAGATTTGGCAAAGGAGCTTTGACTGGTAAAGATAAATTTGGAGATACGTAGAGGGAAAAAAGAGCAAAAATAGACAATCTCAATATTTAGCTCTGTGTTTACTGTATGCTCCAAGCACAGGACTTCCTGAGCTCCAACCTGACTTTGCAGCACTTCTTTTTGTATTTACAAATACCAGCATCATGAATTCAGGAGTCTCACAGATGCCACCAGCTCCTCTCTTAGCTGTACTGCAGAAAGGGGTTGGTGGTGTCACAGATTACTGTATGCAGTAATTTTCCCCCTTCCAAAGAAGACACATAATGTGATATAGGATCACACAGAAGCATTTGGAAGCTGATGATACATAGTCTGAAGATCCTGAGAGCAGAAAATGAGAAAATGAGCACTTCAAATTCAGATGAATATTCTTCTGAAAATGATCCCTTATTGATAATACAAGACTTCAACATTCTTATCGTGCAATGCTCTTACTGACATCTCAGCATTTTTAAGGCAGCATGCAACTAAAAAGATACAAACTAGTGGCAACATGGTTGTCCGTGAGTCCATCTGCTGTGCAAATGTACACACATTGGGGTAAAAGAGGAATTCAGTTTAAGGGAGAGGATATCCTGTAATGCTCAATCTACTGTTTCACAGTTAGGGAAATGCCTCCAACAATTCACACCAGCAGAACCAAAGTTCAGCTGGGACATGTGTCCTAGCCTGTGTATTCTTTCAGCAGCGTATTAAAAACCACCAAGACAGATTTCTGAAGAGGAAATTTCCTTAGAGATTCCAAGACCTTTCTCAGTGAAACCTGTAGTTTATAAGCAAGGCAGGATATTAAGGTTGCTGACTGCAATGCCGTACTAACTGACGGGTTTGGAGCACAGGACTTGGAGCAGGCAGTCTGCAGGGACCAGATGCTTGTGCTGCTACAGAAGTTGCTCCGTAATAAATCTGTAGCCACAGACTTCGCAGTCAGCTTTCCCATATGCATCCAAGCAGCACAAAAGAACAGAACCTGCTACGTTTCAATGCAAAATCAGAGGAGAACATCGAATTCTACCCAGAGGAAAATCTTCACTGGCTGTATAAGCTGTGTTTCTACCAGAAAAGGAGCAAAGCTCCATGCCATGGATGAACAGTGCACGTGTACCCACAAAGACCTGAACCACTACAAAGCTGAGAGAGGAGAAAGTAAAGCACCCCTTCCCTTCTCTGCACAGAAGATTACATCTCCTTGAAGTCAGAACAAGACAATTGCTGAGCTCTGCCATCACCACCTGGCACCCAACTGACACAAACCCCAACACAACGACTCCCAGTGCAGAAATTCAACACTGCTGTCACCTCTAGAGCACCCTATGGCATACGTAAAATGCTGGCGGTGAGCGAAAAGCTTGTGGTTGCTGCTGGAGACTGGGAAAGGCAGCATCCAGCACTGGAAGACTCACAGGGAATTGGCAAAAAATGTCTCGCTATCTTTTCAGCTCGAGATCTGCAAGGGGGGAACAAAATTCCCAAGGAGGCTCCATCTGATTTTTCTCTTCTCCCATCCGTTTCCTCTGCATACTCAGGTGGTTTAGGATAAGGCCCCTGAACAGCTCAAAGAACTCTACGGGGAGCAGAGATTATAAAGAACTCAAAGAAAAGCAAATGAATCAAAACAAAAACTGTGCAGATTAAGTGTGTGCCCAAACAATACCTTTTAGGACAGGCTTAAGGATTTTTCCCAAAAAATCTTACCCAGCTGGAAAACACTATACGATGGCTTAGCAAATATTACAGAATCTGTTAAGGCTTTTTAACAAAAAGGGCAGAGGCCAGTGAATCATGCTCGCTTATCTATTTGCAATTCTCTTTCAGCACACAGGATTCTCACTTTCTCAGGGCTGTAGCTAGGGGATATATTGACTGATATTCAAGTGAAGAGCTTAGGCAGTCTT